CACACATACACACACACACACACACACACACACACATAAACATGTACACCAAAATAAGTCGAATAACCTAACTGTGACGGAAAACATCACATCATACGCCTCCGTCTGGCTGTCTGTCTGTCTATGCATGTCTCTGTGTGATGTGTATGTATGGCATGTCTGTGTCTGCATGTCTGTCTGCCATAAAGACATATTTGCAATCAATCGTTCCTCACGTTGGCTGCACTAGAATGGACGAATTACATCCGTGTGTGTGTATGTCAGTTAGCCAAGAACTAAGTGGCAGTTTACAGAACGCTTTGGCATGCAATTTGCAAGCTCCGCCGTCTCATTTTTATGGTATCCACTTGAGCTGCATGTCGGCGTCTGATGAAAGAAGAGAGCATCATATGAAAATCACGGGGAGACTGAGGTCAATATGAGCCGGATGAGTCATCGTCACTACGAGACTGTCTGTAAGTTCAGAGTGGCCTCTACATTACAGGAAACTGCAGGCAGAGTGACAGCGAATTGGCCCTTGCACTGACCCATTCTTTATGGATTGGATTAAGTTTACGATCGACAATAAGATGCCCTGATCGCAATGTGCCTTATCTGATGACTCCTCCACCTAACTTCAGCATCTCGCCTGACCCGTCAATTGACCCTATGACCTCATCGCCACAACTCATCCAATGATAGTGGGATGTTTTCACACAGCCCTTGCATTAAACCATATGGGAACTCTCCCGAATGATTTCATTATTTAGAAACATCTCACATCCATAAATTGGGATTTCAACGCTAATCATAAAACACCGATTTATTACATTCCATCTCTTTTAATCACTTGATTTCCCAATCACTGTTATCATTATCACTATAATAAACTTACCCTACTTTACCATTCTGAATCCAAAAAAGGATACATCGTACCTTCCAATTCACATTCCAGACAAGCAATGGAAGTTATAATAAATGAACAACGGCACAAATTGTCGCCAATATTATCACAAATGGATGCCGTCATTTGTTGATCAAACAAAAAGCCCACACGGATAACAAACAGCAATCGGTCTTGGCGAAGAATGTTTTTACATTCTTATTATGCTCCAATATTCATTGTGTAATATCATTGCTAATCATTCATTGTTACACACAATTCATTATTAATCTGTCAACAATACTTTCCTTATTTATCATTTATAAAAATAAAATTTCATTCAAGTGGACATTACAAAAATCATACAATCTTTCACGACTACATTCAACATTTTCCGCAGCAAATATTTTTTTTATTTGCAAACGGTAAAATAGCAAAAAATCTTTTCGTATTTGTTGTCGCTAAATTTATTTATAAATATTAACAAAAAAAATTTTCAACTTTTGAATTTGATATTATATTGAAAATCGAAGATCAAAACTGATTTTCAAGTATTTTTATTGCTGCTGTCTCCATTTCTTATTACGATACTACTCAAAGCTCAAACTTTCCGTTGGTGCATTGAATCAACAGAACACACATACGTATACACACATACACAAACACGTACACACACACACGTATACACACACAAACACACATACACACACACAAAGACCAAATTACATTTTAATTTGTTAATAAAAGCGAAATACCAAATATTCGTTGGTCAATGGTCAATGTCAATGTACATTTTAATCTGACAAAAATAAATCTGTATTAAACAAAATTAACGATTCAGCTGTTTATTTTTTGGCATAATTTGCGCATCAATGCTTGTTCAATTTGCGCCAATGCTCGTACAATAATGCTTTATTCTATGCAAATAAAAATATTAACATTTGAGAATGAAAGACATGCATGGCACGATTAATTTAGAATAAATCAATCAATTTCCGATCAAGAAATTTGATAACAGTAAAAAAGTAAAAGATAATATT